AATAACCCTGGCAGTCCATTCGCACCCGCTTGACGGGATAAACCATTTCAAGATAAGATGCCGACGAGCCTCGACGTCACGCAAATTGAAACCCTCCCTGACCACAATCTTCTTCCTCAAGTACAGTTCCAAGCAGGACCGAAATACTTTCAAACACCCAGGGGACATGAGCGACAACGTCAAATTTATCATGAACGAAATGCAATCCTCGAACAGAAACGTTGATTTGATCCTCATGCCTTGAAGCATGCGCTGCCGACACGGTACGAGAAGTGACCTCATCGATGGCGCTCTGCTGAAGAGCCGTGTCCGCATGCGCCTCTCCGCGGCCAGGTTCGAGAAATGACGATCGATTGAAACCAGTCGGGTTCCGGACTCAAAGAGAAGATCTGCTAAACCCATCGAATCTGATTCTTCCAAACACCGCAGCACCGCGCCTGGCGCATAACGCAACATCGCCTGGAGATGGCACAACGTTCGCCCGTAGAGCATGAGATATTTGGTGACACCACGAACCTCCTTGCTGATCAAGATGCCCCAATGACGCTGCGTTTGCATAATCTTGGTTGGCACCGATGTCTGCGAAGACGGAAGCAGCTTCAGGAAGGAGTCAGGCAAGGCGAACTCCGCAGTGCTGGGAGGGGCGACGAGACCCCCAGGCCGATCAACTTGGCGCAAGCGGAGGGGCGTCTCGTCATAAGCTACATAATCGATCACGTGGAGCGCCTTGGCGACTGATGACCGACAACACGATTCAACCAACATCTTACGGTAAAGACGGTCGTGGAGCCAGACCATGCAATTCAAATGCACAGAATGCTTGTGGAAGGTCTCCAACGATACTCCAGTTCTCTCGCACTGCAAAGATGCCGTGGCGAAGGCCAGCGGCCGAGAAGCAGGGTCGTACAACACAGTCGCAACATCTGACGGCCCAGGCAATGCATCTCGAAAACGCTGCACCTCAGGATCTGAACTGAGACCGCCGATGTGCGCTAGCAGCGGGTGGCTGGTGAACGGCACGGGGCGGCTGCACATGTCTCCAGCGACCACGGGCGGCACGGACAATGCACGAGCACGCTGCGCCTCGGCCTCTCGTGCCTCTCGCCGCCGCCGCTTTGCCTCCCTCGCTGCCTCCTGCGCGACTCTAACGTCGCCTCGTCTGCGCTGCAGGCCGACGGCCGCGCCGCCGATGCCCGCCGCGGGCGGCCCTGGCGCCGCCATCCATCTCTCAGTGGACGGTCGAGGCGTCGCAGACCGTCGAGACGAACTCCGTCGTCTGAAGTGAAACTTGGAGACGCAAAATGCGTGCCGAGAGCACGTTTGATTCAAAACGGCGGCGGAGGAGGGTGAGGAGGATACCAAGGGCAAGCTACTCGCCTCTGCTGCCGAAACTTGTTTTCTGCTCTCTCTCTCCCTCGCTCTCTACAGTTCGGGCAATTCTACAGTCTCCCTCGCTCTCTCTCTCCCTCGCTCTCTACAGTCTCTCCCTCGCTGTGGGCGCGTAAATCCCCGCCCTAACACTGGAGTCCTGGCCTCAGAACGCGTGAACGAAAGGCGGGGGGGTGAATGGAGCGGGGTTTCCGAATGCAGGACCAGGACAGGAGAGGGGAGCTTCTTAATGAAGGAACGTTGCAACCATAAGTAATTTTTCAAAACGCACGACCTTGTTTTGATGATTGTTTGGGGGCATGTGACAAGGTGGGCGGAGAGGATTTTTGAGGATGTTCTGGAAGTCGCCAGACCTACAGAACCAGGGGTAGCGAGAATATAACTCTGGGCACCTCCCCCGGGGCCGGTTTTGTGAGGATGTCTCAAGCGAGAGCACGGTTGGGATTCGTCACCGGATCCAGCGGATCCACGGATCTGTCCGGAAACGGTGCCGGAGGCCGCTCTGGGCTCCTCTGGGCACCTCCCCCGGGGCCGGTTTTGTGAGGATGTCTCAAGCGAGGGCGCCGGTTTGGGATTCGTCGGCGGATCCACCGGATCTGTCCGGAAACGGTGCCGGAGGCCGCTCTGGGCTCCTCTGGGCACCTCCCCCGGGGCCGGTTTTGTGAGGATGTCTCAAGCGAGGGCGCCGGTTTGGGATTCGTCGGCGGATCCAGCGGATCTGTCCGGAAACGGTGCCGGAGGCGCTCTGGGCTCCTCTGGGTCACCTCCCCCGGGGCCGGTTTTGTGAGGATGTCTCAAGCGAGGGCGCCGGTTCGGGATTCGTCGGCGGATCCACCGGATCTGTCCGGAAACGGTGCCGGAGGCCGCTCTGGGCTCCTCTGGGCACCTCCCCCGGGGCCGGTTTTGTGAGGATGTCTCAAGCGAGGGCGCCGGTTTGGGATTCGTCACCGGATCCACCGGATCTGTCCGGAAACGGTGCCGGAGGCCGCTCTGGGCTCCTCTGGGCACCTCCCCCGGGGCCGGTTTTGTGAGGATGTCTCAAGCGAGGGCGCCGGTTTGGGATTCGTCGGCGGATCCACCGGATCTGTCCGGAAACGGTGCCGGAGGCCGCTCTGGGCTCCTCTGGGCACCTCCCCCGGGGCCGGTTTTGTGAGGATGTCTCAAGCGAGGGCGCCGGTTTGGGATTCGTCACCGGATCCAGCGGATCCACCGGATCTGTCCGGAAACGGTGCCGGAGGCCGCTCTGGGCTCCTCTGGGCACCTCCCCCGGGGCCGGTTTTGTGAGGATGTCTCAAGCGAGGGCGCCGGTTTGGGATTCGTCAACGGATCCACCGGATCTGTCCGGAAACGGTGCCGGAGGCCGCTCTGGGCTCCTCTGGGCACCTCCCCCGGGGCCGGTTTTGTGAGGATGTCTCAAGCGAGGGCGCCGGTTTGGGATTCGTCACCGGATCCACCGGATCTGTCCGGAAACGGTGCCGGAGGCCGCTCTGGGCTCCTCTGGGCACCTCCCCCGGGGCCGGTTTTGTGAGGATGTCTCAAGCGAGGGCGCCGGTTTGGGATTCGTCACCGGATCCACCGGATCTGTCGGAAACGGTGCCGGATCTGGGCTCCTCTGGATCTGTCCCGGAACGGTGCCGGAGGCCGCGGTTTTGTGAGGATGTCGCAGCGAGGGCGCGGTTTGGGATTCGTCCGGATCCTGATCTGGTCCGGAAACGGTGCGGAGGGCTCTGGGCTCCGGGGCCCTCCCCCGGGGCCGTTTTGTGAGGATGTCTCAAGCGAGGGCGCCGGTTTGGGATTCGTCACCGGATCCAGCGGATCCAGCGGATCCAGCGGATCTGTCCGGAAACGGTGCCGGAGGCCGCTCTGGGCTCCTCTGGGCACCTCCCCCGGGGCCGGTTTTGTGAGGATGTCTCAAGCGAGGGCGCCGGTTTGGGATTCGTCGGCGGATCCACCGGATCCAGCGGATCTGTCCGGAAACGGTGCCGGAGGCCGCTCTGGGCTCCTCTGGGCACCTCCCCCGGGGCCGGTTTTGTGAGGATGTCTCAAGCGAGGGCGCCGGTTTGGGATTAGTCACCAGATCCAGCGGATCCACCGGATCTGTCCGGAAACGGTGCCGGAGGCCGCTCTGGGCTCCTCTGGGCACCTCCCCCGGGGCCGGTTTTGTGAGGATGTCTCAAGCGAGGGCGCCGGTTTGGGATTCGTCACCGGATCCACCGGATCTGTCCGGAAACGGTGCCGGAGGCCGCTCTGGGCCCCTCTGGGCACCTCCCCCGGGGCCGGTTTTGTGAGGATGTCTCAAGCGAGGGCGCCGGTTTGGGATTCGTCACCGGATCCAGCGGATCTGTCCGGAAACGGTGCCGGAGGCCGCTCTGGGCTCCTCTGGGCACCTCCCCCGGGGCCGGTTTTGTGAGGATGTCTCAAGCGAGGGCGCCGGTTTGGGATTCGTCACCGGATCCACCGGATCCAGCGGATCTGTCCGGAAACGGTGCCGGAGGCCGCTCTGGGCTCCTCTGGGCACCTCCGGGGGCCGGTTTTGTGAGGATGTCTCAAGCGAGGGCGCGGTTTGGGATTCGTCACCGGATCCACCGGATCTGTCCGGAAACGGTGCCGGAGGCCGCTCTGGGCTCCTCTGGGCACCTCCCCCGGGGCCGGTTTTGTGAGGATGTCTCAAGCGAGGGCGCGGTTTGGGATTCGTCAGCGGATCCACCGGATCTGTCCGGAAACGGTGCCGGAGGCCGCTCTGGGGCTCGTGCTCTTCGCGCCGGGGGTGAGGATGACGTGAGTTCCACAGAAACTCCCTCAAATTTTCCTTCCCTCCTCCTCCTCCTCCTCTTCTCCTCTCATCCTCATCCTCTCCTCCTCCCTCCTCCTCCTCCATCATCCTCATCATCCTCATCCTCATCCTCATCCTATCCTCATCCTCATCTCATCCTCATCCTCATCCTCATCCTCATCCTCATCCTCATCCTCATCCTCATCCTCATCATCATCATCATCATCATCATCATCATCATCATCATCAGCATCATCATCATCATCATCGTCATCTTCATCTTCATCAGCATCAGCATCATCATCATCATCATCATCATCATCAGCAGCAGCATCATCATCGTCCCCATCATCCTGATCATCCTGATCATCCTCATCATCCTCATCATCCTCGTCATCATTAACATCATCATCGTCATCATCAGCAGCAGCATCAGCATCAACATCATCATCAGCAGCAGCATCATCAGCATCAGCATCATCATCAGCATCAGCATAATCATCAACATCATCATTATCAACATCATCATCAGCATCATGATTGCCATCATCATCATCATCATCATCACCATCATCAGAATCGTCAGTATCATCATCACCATCATCATCAGCAGCAGCATTATCAGCATCAGCAGCATCATCATCAGCATCATCATCAGCAGCATCATCATCCCCGCTTCTCCTACCTCACTCCGCCCTACTCCCCCCACCATCCTCCCTCCTCCTTCATCTCTCCTCCCTCCTGCTCCCCCTCCTCCAGCTCCTATTCCTCCTCCTCCTCCTCATCCTCCTCCTCCACCGCCTCCTCCTTCTCGTACTCCTCGTTTTACGTTTCCGACGTCCCCGCTCACGTCGGTGCCCGCCGACTTGTCCATGCTTTTCCCCTTGTCCTCGCGGCAAACTGGCGGATGCGACAGACACCCTCCTCTAACTCTCGTTGACGAATCCTCAGGTGCTTGGCTGTGATGCTTCAGGAGAGGCGGCTCGATGTGCCTAGCAGGCTTCCTCATCCCCTCAACCTATCCCTCTACTATTCCTTCCCTCCCCCATCGCTCCATTCCTCCCATTCCTGTTCCTCCTCCTCCTCCTTCCCCCTCCTCCTTCCTCTCTTCCTTCTCCTCTTCCTGATCCTCTTCCTCCTCCAGCTCTCCAGCTTCACCTCCCCGTTTCTTCTCTCTCTCTCTCTCTCCTCCTCCTCCTCCTCCTCCTCCTCCTCCTCCTCATCCTCCTCATCATCCTTTCCTCCTGCACGTCCTCCTCTACCGCCTCATCGTCATCGTCATCGCCATCATCATCAGAGTGATCATCCACGGTGTCCTCACCGATTCCCGCCTGGACTGCTTCGGTGTCCATCCTCACGCCGATGACCTTGTCCCACTCCTGGCACGGTCGGCCAGAGGAAAGGGGAGGAGGGAGAGGAAGACGAACGAAGAGGAGGGAGGAGGAGGAGGAGGAGGAAGGCGAGAGGAAGGGGGAAGAAAGAGGAGGGAGGAGGAGGGCGGAAGGAGGGGTAGGAGGAAGCGGAAGAGGAGCATGCCTCCTTGCGTGTGTGGGCGCCCAGTATCCGCAAGAGAAAAGGAGCAACCATCGGCTCTCGTGTGAATGATTAGACGACTGTTCCCGAAGTGTCAGCCCAAATGTGGAAAACCACTCTAGAGAAGATAACGTTCACGATGCGGCGCCCAGGCACTCGTGCGCGAAGCGCTACAAGTCGATCGAACACCACGTATGAGATAGTAAGGTGGTGATCCCCCCGGGCTCCCTGTTCCAAAGCCAAAAGCGAATTGGATCCCCCAGACAGATGCCATTGGCACGCCTAAAGTCGCGAAGCGCACGTATGCCCGTGCGTATCACGATCTTGAATGGTCTACCCTGGCTCTTGGGAACCATGGTGGGCAAGCTTCCACGCCCAATCGCGTTGCCATTTCCTCCGCGCCACGACCGACGATTCCAGTGTGTGACGGCCAAACATTTGGGTAGTCACACAAGCGAATGCACTCAATTATTGGCTCCTGCTTCCGCGTGGGAAGAAAATGCCTCAGGCCGTTTCTCTCCGCGAACCTGAAATGGTCTGCCATTTTCACAAACCGTAAGTGCGCAACATCCAATAGGAATGAAAACCTAAATGGCATGCGCAAGATTTGGAGCTTCCCCTTGCAATGCCAGACTTGAGTGTCAGCAGCGCTCTGTACTTGACAAACACCCCGTCTCAATCAGCTCCTGCCTTCGGACGCGTTGCCAAAACCTGCCAGAACTTGCGCTCGTGTCGGGTCCCTCGACCCCGTCCATCCTCGCGGCTCTCCTGTCCTGGCCGTTGATGTGCATCGTCGCTGGGCACCGTTAGCGGCCGTTGTAGACCAACCAGCAGGCTTGGACAATATGTTCGTGAGGGTATTATGTGCTGCAAGATGTCAACCGATGCCAATTCATTAACTTCCAGGGAAAGTACCTACTTCACGTGTTCCGTTGTGGCCAACACTTTTCGATGGCGAATTCTGTTTGGGGGCCAATCAAACCGACGTTTCCAATCTGATCAAAAATGGTTGGGGCGTCGGCGCCCCTGTGGCGCAAAGACCTGGTGTGAGCGACGTCCCCGCTGCACACTCCGCTGGCCCGTGTCAGAGAGTCGATTCGCTGACTTCCCGAAACAGCGCAGCTACGCTTATCTTCTGAATAACGCGTTGCACAAAAAATTGTTGCACCAAGCTGGTGTTTGTTTGTGCCGTGCGCATTGGACAAATCAAATCCCCAGCGAAAGCAAAAAGCGGTGGTAACACGCCATGCAACCCAACATGCTCCCCGCAAACTGTTAGTTAGTGTCAGGGTCCTACCTATACGACAACACTTCGGGTGATAAGCAGGTTGTGGTGGGGGAACCAACTGACGACAACTGCGAGGACTGTGATGGTGTTGATGCTGGTGATGCGCTCGCGAGCACACGATCACTCGGTCTCACTATCAATCGGTCTCACTATCCATCTTACAAGCGGTACCACTATCTATCTATCGATCTCACGATCGATCGATCTCACGATCCATCGACCTCACTATCTATGTATATATCGATATCACGGGACAACCATCGAGACTATCATCGGGACACATTGGGACACCATCGGGGCACCATCAGCACACAATCAGGAAACCGTCGGCACACCATCGGGACACTGTAAGAACATCATCGAGGCACCATTGGAACACCATCGGGACACCATCGGAACACCATCATAACACCATCGGAGCACCATCGGGACACCGACGGGACTGTGGGACACCATCGGGAAACCATCTGGACACCATCGGGACAACATGAGGACACCATCGGGGCACCATCGGGACACCATCTGGACACCATCCGAACACCATCCGGACACTATCGAGACACCATCGGGACACCATCTGGACACCGTCGAGTCATCATCGAAACACCCCGGGACACCATCAGGACACCTTGGGGCCACCGCCCGCCAACCGGTGGGAGCAAGATTTGGCCTGGTTTCGCCATAGCGACGGCGAGTACATTTCACTCGCCCACCCACGCAACTTCGCCTCGCTCCCCCGCGCGCACGACACGAGACCGAAACCAATTTTCTGGTGGGGGGTTTGCGCAACACTTCGATCTCGCCCCCCACCTCCGATGAAGCGCGTGCGCTTTCAGGACTTCAACCAACGCGCGCCGTAGAAATATCAAAAAGCGAATGACACATACAAGCTAGAGTGGACCCCAAACAACGTGTGCAATCGTTGTGGGACAATAAATGTGCATATATGCATATGAACAAACAATGCACTCTAGGTGGCGCCATATATTCTGGAAAATCGATGCTGTGCAACCAACGCGGTGCGATCTGTGTTGTGCCATAAATGTTGTGCAATATATATATATATATATATATATATATATGTGCGTTGAGCAACCCACAGGGAACAATATATTTGGTGCAATCTATATGGTGCGATATGTGTGGTGCAAGGTGCGTGGTGCAAACTCTGTGGCGCGATCTACGCTGTGCAATATACGTGGTGCGATTGACCCTGCCGAACGTGAAAAATCAACTCAACTGTTCGCGCAATCATCCCACCCACCCACCGCAACCTGGTTTGCACAACCCGTGCGGCGGCGACTGAAACGACTGCTTGGCGCTGGCTGACACACAACAGCGGCCGCCCTGGCGCGAGCAGGCTCGCGAGCGCTGAATGGCCAGCTAGTCTGGCCCGACCGACGCGGCCGCGGTGGCGTTGACCGCTGTGCACTTCCCACTGCGTCTCGCAGGCGGCGCTGACGCGCGGGCACTTACAGTGGAGGCCAGTCCACAAGAACCTTCCGCAAGAAATCCAACCCTGAGATCCCAGGAATTCCCTTGATTGTTGGCGTGGGAAGGCCACGCTGTCCATGGCAAAACCATTGAAAACCAACAAACCTAAGGCACCTTGGAGGCGAGCAGGGTGTTTTTTGGCATTGGTCTCCACTCGAAGTCCGAGTCGGTGGCTCGGGCAGGCGCGGTACCATGGCGACGTCGGCAACGGCAGACACGATTATGACAACGACGACGGCAAGGCCGATGACGGCACCGATGCTAATCACGCCGGTGACGACCATGTTGCCCACTTGTCGACGATGGTTTTGGACAGATTTCGCCATGAGCGCGCAGGCAACGCGCGGGAGCGGCCCGCATAGAATTATACGAAAGGGATCGCGCCCCCCCCCCGCTTAGCAAGCGCCCAAGGGCGCGCGCGAGAGGCCTGGTTGGTCGCCCGCGGTGAAAATTCTGAAACGAACATACGGCATACGGTGCCCTTCAGAATTTCGAAGGAGCGCGCGCGCGCAGACTTGCTTGAAAACCCACGTTGCAGAACCATTGGTGGTTTGATGTTTGCGGGGGATTCGATTTTGAAGTTCTTGCGACATCGGCGGTGTTTGACGGGTTTCGGCGCGCGCGACGACGCGCGCGCATGGACATTATCATGCGCGTTGCATGGGAGCCTTGCAATCGGATGAGTTGTGATAAACGAGTACGCGCGCTTAGTATTATCTGACGATGATAAAATGGGGAGGGGGTCGAACCTCATTTGACTGGGATGAAATGCATTCAAACTTGTAATGAACGATGGGGCAGAATCCCACTAGGCCTCTGGGCGTGGGTGGTTTAACGAATTGTGTCTTCGCTCTGCCGAATCTCCCTCCTTTCCCTGCCCGGTGGAGGGGTACACCCTTTCCTCCGCCCCCTCCCCAGGGCCTGGAAGGGGCGCCCCGCGAGGGGTCGGAGCGTCCAAGATGGCCCACGATGGCCACAAGGGGGCCTCTGAGAGCGCAAAATGGCCTCCAAGATGGCTCAAAATACCTCAAGATGGTTCAAGACAGCGTCCAGCACACATCTCAGAGGCTTCAAGACGGCCCCAAGACGGTTGCAAGTGCCCCCATGGGCCATCCAAGGACCCCCCCAAGAAGCCAAAATGGCTCCAAAACCTGAGGGGAAACCAACGGTGTTTGCCGTCTCGCCTTTTCGCTTGCGAGGGGCTCTTGAGGCCTCAAGATGGCCCCAAGACGGCCCAAGAGAGCCCAATGAGGGGCTCAAGAAAGCCTCAAGACAGTCCCAAGAGCGCCCCAAAAGCGCCCCAAAAGGCCTCAAGGCGCCATGCTTGAGTCCCCCAGGGAGGGACCTGAATATCCTACCCCCCCCCCTCTCTCGGAGACACGGGGGCCAAGATGGCCCCAAGAGGCCTCGCAGACCCCCCCCACCGAGTCCCAAGACGGCCTCATGAGTGCCCCAAGAGGCTCCGCGAGGACTCCAAGAGAGACTCGCGCCGCCTGGCGGCTCGGGGGCCACGACGTTGAACTCCCGCATCTTGCCTCCAGCTCGAGCTCCTCCAGCCGCAACGTCTTGGCCCTCTCCCTCTCGTCCTCGAGCACCTGCTGGGCCTTGACGACCGCCTCCTCAGCCTTGGCGACCGCCCCCTCCTGCTTGGCGATCGCGCCCTGCTTCACCTTGAGCTTCTTCTGCAGCGCCAGCAACTGGGTGAGGACGGGCTTCTTCGAGCGGACCTCATCCACCAGCTTGCGCCGTTGCTCCTCCAGCTTGCCAATCGTGTCCTTGACCAACTCCGACGGCGACGTGATAGCGCGGAGGCTACGCAGCTCGTCATCCAATTGCGCCAGGACCTTCGTCTGCACCTCGTCAGCATCCTCCGTGGCCCCCTCCTCAATGGCTTTCGCCAGCTAAGGCAGTGGAACCTTGGCCTTGCTCGCGGCCCGCAGCACGTTGACCTCTTCCCACAACTTAGCCAACTCCGTCTGCATCGGTCCCTGGGTCACCTGCAGATAACTGGGCGCGTCTGCGGACCCTGGTCCGCTCTGCGGGCGACGGCGTGAGACGCCGTCGCCACCCGAACCTCGACCAAGGAAGGCCACCGACTTGTCCACCCCGCAGAAATGGCACTTCTTCTTCGTCCCGAAGGTGACCACGGGCATCCCGACCTTGGGCCCGCGCTCATACTTGCAGAACTTGGTGTGCCAGTCAGGCGTGGCCTCGGCGCGGCCGCCAGGCGCCATGGTCCCTCGCCTGCACCGAGGAGGTACAGCGAGGCCAACCACAGAGCCACAAGCCACGTCGCGCGCGTGCTCACCTGCGGGCAGCAAGAGGCACCCAAGGACCTGAGGTGAATCAGGCCCTGGCCAGAACTGGTTGGAACTGGCCACGGAGTTGCGGCGGTATCCGTTTTGTTCCCAATGAAACAAGCATCTTGAGCCAAAATGGCTACGGAGGAGGAGAGGGAGGAGGAGGAGGAGGAGGAGGAGGAGGAGGAGGAGGAGGAGGAGGAGGAGGAGGAGGATGAGGAGGAGTGAGGAGGAGGAGGAGGAGGAGGAGGAGGAGGAGGAGGAGGAGGAGGAGGAGGAGGAGGAGGAGGAGGAGGAGGAGGAGGAGGGGGGGAGGAGCGCACGCTCAGGGCTCCTCCTCGTCCTTCTCCTCGGAGGACCTCCTGGCACCGTCGCTGCCGTCGTCCTCCTCGACGATCGCCTCGAGCTGCACCACCCTGCGGTCGTCCACCTCGGACACCTCGCGAGCGGTGCCCCCGGGGGCGGGCCAAAAAAAACTTCGTTCGGCCCGGGGACGAAGACCCCGGGTCGTTCCAGGAAGCACTTGGGTCGGCCCGGGAAAACCAGGGTCGATCCAGGAGGCGGTCCCGGGACGAAGACCTGGGGCTTGCCTATAACAGCAAAAAGACGGGAGGAACGAGGACGCCGCCGCTGCCGCCGCTGCAGCCGACGACGACGATGACGACCCAGCGGGCGCGGTGGGCCACCCTACTTACCCATTTGTCTCCTGCTCCTCCAAGACGAGGGCCGGACGGGGACAGATTCGGACGGGGATGCCGCGAGAAGCTCTGAGATCTGGCGGTTCTGGAGGATGCATCGGGCGCCGAAGCATTCGCAGAGCGTTCCGGAACGCTCTGAGAGCGTTCTGAACCCAGACATGCGACGTCCTGATTTCATCGAAGCGCGGTCCCCGAAGTCCCGACCCTTTCCCCGGGACCAATTGTTCATCCTGAGCCGTTTCTTAACGGTCACGATGCCCGGCGAGACCCCCTGGAGGCCGGAAGTGGTCAGAAACCCTCTTACTATTTCCGCCAAGAGGGCGGTGCAGCGCCGACATGGTAGTCAGCTGCCTGCGCATGGCACCCTTGATGATGTAGCATACTCTCTTGCTTGCGCACCGTCTGGTGCAAGGCGACCTGGCTTACTGACTGACCGATGTCTCTACCCCTCTCCGCTGCACTGCTTGAACTAGCATTCGGCCGCGAACGATCGAGAGAACGACCGAACGAGGTCAGGGCGTGGAAGGGAGACCGCAGCGGAGCCGTGCTCGTTGACATCGGCGTCAGCATCGTCACCCCGGTCAGCGGCGCGTGCGAGCCCTCGCCGGATCTGCGTGTGCCGGGGACGGCCTACGCCCGGGGCCCCAGGGGACCCAGGGGCACCCAGAGACGTTGGAAGAGGAGGAGGAGGAGGAGGAGGAGGAGGAGGAGGAGGAGGAGGAGGAGGAAGGGGAGGAGGAGGAGGAGGAGGAGGAGGAGGAGGAGGAGGAGGAAGAGGAGGAGGAGGTGGAGGAGGAGGTGGAGGAGAGTCTGCGGGGCACCTCGAATCGGACGTTCTTGGAGGTCGTCTCCACAAGCACCGCCTCTGAGGGGCAATGATAGGGGGGGGGACTGGCATAGGGGGATGCATCGGCCTGGACTCGGCGATGCATCGCCGATAGATCGGCGAGAGGCCCCCGAGATCGAAACCGCACCATCCTGGGCGGGGAGGGGCTATCAGACCCCCATCGGCGATCAATGGGCGACTGGGGGTCCATGCATCCCCCCCTATGCCCATCCCGCCCTGACGTCGCCCCTGAGCCTCTCCCTCCTCCGGGATCCGGTCGATGTGCATGCACACGAAGCCGCCGATGGAGTTGTAATCGCCGCTGGGCAGCTCGACGCCTCCGGCGGAAGGCAGGTCAGGCGCGCGCACGAGGGAACAAGCAAAATACAGAGACCGCTACCCATCGGTCGGAAGAAGTAGGTAGAAACATGAAGTAGGAAGGCGTTGAAAGTAGATTGGGTTCCGTCCGCCCCCTCAGGAGGACGGAAAAGGTGAAGCCACTCGATCATTGAAGTAGGAAGGCGCTTGAAGTATATTGGAATCTGGGAATCCAAGCACACCTACTTTCAACGACCGATGGGTACTCCTCGGACCTGCCCAGAGCCGCCCCTCTGGCAAGGAGCCGCCGAGGATAGACCTCGCGCCCTCTCCCTGCCTGTTCGCTTGATCGTCGCCTGCCGCGACGACACGCAAGAGTGACCCTCCTCCTCCTCCTCCTCCTCCTCCTCCTCCTCCTCCTCCTCCTCCTCATCATCATCATCATCATCATAATCATCATCATCATCATCGATCATCATCATCATCATCATCATCATCATCATCATCATCATCATCATCATCATCATCATCATCATCATCACTCATCATCACTCATCATCATCATCATCATCATCAGCATCAGCATCATCATCATCATCATCATCATCATCATCATCATCATCATCATCATCATCATCATCATCATCATCATCATCATCATCCTCTTTCTCTTCCTCCTCCCCGTCCTCCTCCTCCTCATCCTCCTCGACGCAGCCCTGCGGACAAGTTACCGTGGCCACATGAAACAGCCCTCGGCGGATGGCACGACGGGCTATCTGACAGGACCAAACACAACAGCAGGGTGAGCACGGGACGAAGGGACCTCGCCTGCCCTCACAAGGCGAGCGGTTTTCCAGGGCTGATCCAGAGTGTACCAAGTCTTATTGACCTGGTACTTTCCACGTGCCAAGTCAGCCAGCACCCGCGCACCCCAGGACAAGGGGGCTGGCTGACCTGGGCACGGGGAAGACAGCGCAGGCGGCGAGCCGAGACCAGCCGAGCCGCACACGGCGCAGGCGACTCCAGCCTCGCAAGCCTCGGCAAGCCTGACAGGATGCACAACATGCACACGCGCCCCTGACAGGGCGATACGCACTGTGGCCGAGTCGGCGCTTCAGCGGGCGAGGGGAGTCCGGGGCGGCTCGGGTGGCAAGACAGACAGCAACAGGGCGTGAGGTTTCGCTCTCGTGCGCTGATCGTCCGAGATATGTAGAGCATCAGAAACCACCAAAGCGGGCACGACGCAAGCCACCCAGATAGCGCGCCGGCGTAGCACTCTCGCTTTACTATCGTGCTGCCGCCCGTACAAAAAAATCCACACCCAGGGCGGCAAGACTCTGGGGCATGATAACAACCACAATGACGCAATTGCCTCGCACCCCTCCCCCCCGAACCCAAAGTTGAAGTGTCCACATTTTGTCCCTGGACCGCGGCATGCCGCCCAACCCCGCCAGCCTTGAGTTGGGGGGAAGGGGTCTCTACATATTCAATCGACGCGATGCCATGGCGAGTCGTCTTGGCGCGACAGGCGTGGACACTTTTTGTCCGCCCACCGGAGCACATCACCAGACAGCCACTGGGATGCGAAATGGGCTGGCGGCATGAGCGAAGCGATTAAATAAATTATCCCCTCCATCGACCACCGCCGCCTATCCAGGACGCCCCGAAGGGGCGCTCCAAGAAGGTCCAAAGCAGCGAAAATCATTGATTATCCACTGGGAAACGTACATTTTTAGCATCGGCGACTTTTCAGCCTGCACGGACTTCCAGCCAGTCTAAGAGGCCCCGAAGGCCACCCCATGACGTCCCAAAAGGGTCCCAAAAGGCGCCCAAAACGGCCCAAAACGGCGCCAAGACGGCCCTAGAGGCTCCCGAATCGGCCCAAAAGAATCCCAAAACGGCTCCTGAAGGGGCCCCAGCGGCGGAGCCCGAACCGAAAATCCGAGCCCTCCGCTTCCACCTGGCCCTGGGACACCCCACGAGCCGCCCAAAAGGTCCCAAAAGACCCCCAAAAGACCTCCAAAAAGCGCCCGAGAGGCCCAAAAGAGGTCCCAAGAGGTCCCAAAACGGCTATCAATGAACTTCGAAACTACCTCCGGGACCTCAAACCGGAGATTTGCCCCCCACGGGCCCGGCACGAGCGCATCACGGGACTTTTCCGGGGTCAAGAGGGCCTTAAACACGGGCCAAGAAGGCCCCAAGAAGCCTCCAAGACGGCCCACGAGAGCTCCGACACGCCAAACGACCTCTCCGACTTCGGTAGTCTTCTCTTGCACGCGCCGCTCCTGTCGCCTTTTGATGATTCCCCACCTGTTGCTGCTGCAAGTGTTTCGTGTCCGAGAACGCTCCTCCGCACGCCGCGCACGTCACGTTTCCGACAGAGCCTCTCCCCCGATGAATTGTGTTTCCTCTGTGCACCCGACATTTCCGCCTGCTCTTTCAACAGCGTCAGACATGTCTTGCTCGAACGCATTTAAGGGGTCGGCGGATGTGGCGTAAGCCTGAAGAATAAAGGATCCCCGCCATCGACCACCGCCGCCAGAGGGACCATCCTCCATTGCCCATGGGTCCATCAGACCAAGCATGTTGCCATCCTGGACTCCGTCGCCGTCGCACGTGAACATGTTGAACGTGCAGTCCACGCGTTGGGTCACGCACCATCCGGCCCCCCCGTGTGGCACTGTCAAATACCATGGGCTGGGCGCGCCATTGTCAGGAGTCCAACGCGAGCGACAAAGAGTTATGGAAGCTGTGGAAATCCCACCAGCCCTTTGGGCGTGAGTGGTTTAGAAAGCCCGCTCTGTTCTCAACCCCCCTTCTTCCCCTTCGGGGAGGGGTTTACCCCTCCCCCTACCCCCTCCCCCTGGGCCTGGAGAGGTCCCTCCGCGGGTCGCCGGAGGGGTCTTTTTCGACTCCTCGGAGGGCTAAAAAACGACACCACTCACGAGGATTCTGGCCCCGACGGGGGGAGGGAGAAAAGTGCTCCCCCATCTGTGATCGATCGCCCGACAGATGGCCCCAAGATTCCTCCCAGACCCCTCCCAGAGAGTCCCAAGAGGCCCCAAGAGGCCTCCAAGAGGCCCCCAAGATGCTCCCAAGAGGCCCCAAGAGGCTCCCCCGAGGCACCCAAGACGCTCCTGGAAGCCCCTGGAGCCGCCAAGAGGCCCCCAAGACGCCCCAAACGGCCTCCAAGAGGCTCCCAAGAGGCCCGAAGAGGCTCCCCCAAGGCACCCAAGACGCTCCTAGAAGCCCCTGGGGCCGCCAAGAGGCCCCGAAGACGCCCCAAAAGGCCTCCAAGAGGCTCCCAAAACGACTCACACCACGACGAGGGCCCCGAACGACTCACACCACGAGGAGCCCGAACGAGTCACACCAGGAGGAGGGGCCCGAACGACTCACACCACGACGAGGGGCCCGAACAACTCACACCACGAGAAGCCCGAACGACTCACACCAGGACGAAGAGCCCGAACGACTCACATCACGAAGAGCCCGAACGATTCACACCAGGAAGAAGGGCCCGAACGACTCACACCAGGACGAGAAACCCCAAACGACTCAAACCACGAGGAGCGCTTTCTCTCCCTCCTCCTCCGCCTCGTCCTTCTCCCGCTCCCCCCACAAGGAGGATGTACAAGGAGGCGGGAGGAAGGAGGAACAGGGGAGACATGCGGGGCCAAGCGGACACAAGCCTGAAAAACACGACTGTCGGCATGCTTCGCAAGAGTTGCTGTTGTGAGATGGGCTGGTGGGGATACGCGAAGCGTAAAGAATTCCAATCAGGCGGCCTCTCCCAGGTAGCTCCAGCTGCTACCTGGAACGTGTCTGTGCACGTGCCGTCGTCCAAGCAAATATTGACCTGGCTGTGCTGCTGGACTGGACCTGCAAGGAGCTCGCCGCGGCGTGCTGCATGCCGTGGGCAAACAGCATAATGCACACGGCGCGGATCGCCATCTGGGCTCCCATCGATGTGAAGCAAGCGATGGCAATCTACTGTGTCTGTGGGCACACCACGGAGGTTGTGCTTGAGCCACAGCAGCCGCGGTTCGCAACAGTCACGTGAGGCATCCTAGGGCCCTCCTGCGCCCTCCTGGGCCGCCCGTGGCCTCTTCTGAGGCCGTCCTTGGGCCTCCTCGGGGCCCTCGGGGCTTTTCGGTTATTGCCGTCGTCGTCGTCGTCGGTCGTCGGTCATCGGTCGTCGGTCGTCGTCGTCGGTCGTCCATCGTCGTCGGTCGTCGTCGTCGGTCGTCCGTCGTCGTCGGTCGTCGTCGGTCGTCCGTCGTCGTCGCCGTCGCCGTCGCCGTCGCCGTCGCCGTCGCCGTCGGCGTCGGCGTCGTCGTCGCCGTCGGCGACCGCCGCTGGAGCGGCGCCGCGGTGGTGACCCCGAGCGGCCGAGGGCCCCCAGCACCCCCTCGGTCGGCGCGTGCCGGGCTGGGATCCAGGGCACATGTATTCCAACAGAAGTAAGGAAAATTTAAGAACTGCAAAACAATTAAGGAACATTTCGCGCCTCCCCAACGAAAAGGGTTCCTTCTTCGGTGGACCGACCGTATGCGTACGCACACTGCGCGTGGCCACAGCCGTGCGCGGGCGCACGTGCGCCAGAGGGCGCTGGCCCGTCATGCCTCATCCTCCCTCCTCACCCTCCTTCCTCCACTGGCGGGGCTGCCGAGGACATCGTTCACGTCCTCGATCGCAGCGACGGCGCTCATCGCCCAGCGGTTCTCCGCAAGCGGGATGATCTTGGAGCTGTTCTGGACGCCTCGGCACAACCACCCAATGACCGCGCGGGGGGAAGGGAAGGGTGGGGAACGAGAGGGTGGAGCAGCTCCAAGTCAGTGAACCCTCGGGCAGCGCTCACGCTGCTCGTGCTCACCGCTCACCGCTGCTTCTGCGAACGAAGGCACACTTTGTGCTGCAGGGCAGCACCTTGATGGCATTAGCGTGCACCGTGCTCTTGCCACCTCACCTGGAGAAGGGAAAACGGCAAAAACCTCAAATTGCGGAGCTCCGCTCGGATTTCTTGGATCGGCGCTGGGTACTCCCTGGCGGCGCCTCCAACGTCGTCCCTCGCGCGATCCGCGCGCCAGGAAGGGGGGGTCCAAAGCAGATCATCCAAGAAATCCGCGCGGGGATCCCCCCAAAAATTGTGCATGTCGCTTGTGTTCCTTAGGCTGGTGGCTCCCAGTGAGTGGGCCCTCGGGTAGCGCTCACGCAGGGTCCGAGCTCATCGCTGCTCGTGCAGACGAGGGCGCACGTTGTGCTGTGCGGCAGCCCGACGCTCCATGCCAGACAACCTCCCTAGTGAGGGGTTTCGTGGAGAGCAGTGGTAACCCACTCGTACAAAACTGTACCAAGCCGACCGCACAAGGTACTGATACTGCCACGGTCCAAAAAAAACAACGCCGTAGTACGCGTCGATTGCAACATCACGTTAAGGGGCTACGCATCTGGAAGGTCATATCGCCTCCCTCCGGGCATAGCGATGGCAAGCACGATGACTTCATCGTGCGTTTGCCACTGCACGCACTCACAGCCTACAAGCAAAAAATGAATACTACGTACATGCCTGACACCCCGCCAAAACATGTTTGGTCAGTGCGTCTCGGGTCCGAGTTGCGGTGAGGCTAAGCGGGGACGCATGCGAAGAAATTTGATGCACAAGCATTCAAGGCAGATGGAAAAAGGGTTGTGTTGTTGCCTCGGGGCTCCAGCCACAGCGAACAGGGGGTGCCCCCTGACGACATCCAGGACTCACAGTTGCGGCGAAGACCGCAGGTCAGCTCAGGGGGAGAGAACCCCTTGGCGAAGGAGGGCGGGGAAACCCACAGCCGCAAAGAGAAGCCTGTCTGAGCTGTCAGTAGGGTCGGAGGTTATCACCGCCTCGCCAATGCATCGCCGATGCATCGGCGATGCATCGGCCACGTCGGCGATGCATCGGCGCCGTCGGCATGGCGAAAATCGGGCTCCGCATCGAGCCGCGTCGCCGATGCATCGGCGGTGCGGCGCGTCCCTCCGACCCCGTCTGCTTCGACCCTATCTAGGAGGCACAGGGCATCTAGGAGGCCGAGAATGTCAGAGTCCCCCGCGGCGCTGGCCTGGCCGGGTGCCCGCGAAGGACACGGGCGGGAACAGGGAGGGGAGGGCCGCGGGACGGCCCAAACTCGCCTCGCGAAGGCAGGTTGTGGCTCATGTTGCTCCCCTCGCACTTCAGGATCAGGTTCCCAAAAAACGGATCTCGAGCGCCCAAAGAGAGAAGTCCCGAAACAGGGTCGAACGGGTATCGCCCCCCCAGAGCCCGCCCCGCAGGAAAACCCTCCGGCTTCGGTGATCACTCCAGATTTCGTAACAAAAGGGAGGGGGTCTGGACCCTGACCTCCCCCGTGGGAGAACCCTCCAAAACATCGTCCCCAGACCCCCCCAGGCCCTCCAAGATAGCCTGGAAGAGACCCCCCCCCGAAATGAGACCCCCTCCCTTAATTACGAGATCTGGGGTAATTTCCTCGTGCTCCATTTTTTGATGGCTCTATATCGCGCAGGTTGGAACATCATAAAGACTTTAGGGCGGCCGCGGCCTCGCGCGCAGCGCCGAGGCGGCGAGAAAGATCGGATCCCGTGCGCGCGCGGCCGGGCCCGCAGCGGAAGCCTTCGCAGCCTCCGAGGGCGCCCATCGGCAGCTGGCCTTCCGGGCACGGGTGGCGAGGAGGGAGCACGGGAGCCCGACGCTGCATCTCCGGAGGGGAGACGAGGACGAGGAAGAGGAGGAGGAGGAGGAGGAGGAGGAGCAGGAGGAGGAGGAGGAGAGCGCCATCGACAGGGAAGGTGGGGGCCACGAGGTCCGCCGGCTCGACGACCGGGGCGCGAGAGCGTGGGAATAGCATACGGCCATGGTCCTATTCTTAGCGGGTATGTGATTTCGGGCCCTGCGAAAAACCGAAGCCACAGATAGGTCAAGCAGCGCAGGGGCGTACGTACACGCTGCTAAACAGGGTCGGGTGAAGCAACCCTCCAATATGCACGCCAAGTGCTCCAAGACGCTGTGCGCAGGATACCCGCTCGCTAATAGAAGAAGAAAAAACGCCATCAACATAAACTTTCGGCGTTCCGCGCGGAGCGCCACATGTTCATGTTTATGGCGTTCCTTCCTTCTTCGAGGTGGTGCGGAGCACTTGGCGTGTACGGGCGCATCCCCCCACGACACGCCAAGAACGGGACCAGGAGAGGGACCCCCCCCCGCGAAGACGGGCACGCAGACGTCGGGGAGCACCGCGGCGGCCGCCAGCTCTCCTGGGCGAGACCACGCCTCCCCGACCCGCCCGGTCCGGAGCGGAGGGGGGGAAAAGTGAGGAAGGAGAGGGCCTCCTCAGAAGGCGGCGGGACTGCTCAGAAGCCTCCGCGCCTTCTGAAGAGGTGCTGTCTGTCTTCGAGGAAGGCTTAAGAGGACTTCTCAGGGGGCCCGGGGACTTCCGAGCCTTCTGAGAAGGCCTTCTCCTTCTCCTTTCCCTGCCCGGCTCGCCGCCGAGCAAAGGCGCATTCCCAACGACACGCCAAGAGCAGGACCAGGACCGCGACCGCCCGCGAAGAGACGGGCACACACGTGCCGGGGAGCACCACGGCCGCCGCCACCTTATCTCGTTGGCGAGCCCGGGCCTCCTCCGACCACCAACACGGGGCCCGGGCGGGGAGGCGCGCTCTCCACGCCCGCTCGCGGCTGCGGTCCCGCGCTGGGCCCACACGGCCTGGTGCGCTTTCTGATTCGAACTTCTCCTCCTCCTCCTCCTGCTCCTCCTCCTCCTCCTCTCACCGGGCGGTTGGTGAACGCTTTCTGATTCGGCGTTTCGACATTGGGTGGAAAAGGGGGGGAGGAGGGGAAGGGGTCTGGCTCCGGACCTCTGCTCAGGGCGAGGACACAATACAGCGACCCCGTAGCATAAGGATGCACGATAAGGACGCAAAGGCCTCGGAAGGCCGTTTCGGAGTTTTTCGAGCGGGGCGCGGCCAACGAAAGTCGCCAACGAAAACGGCCAAGGTGCGCCTTCTGATACGGTCGGGGTCGATCGGAGAGGACACGCGAGAGGACACAGTAGAGAGCAGAAAATCCACCCCCAGAATAGACACCTCGCCAAGGGAGGCCGTTTCGCAAACGCACCCAGGGAAGTAATGTGAACGTTTTCCTATTCGGCGTTTCGACACTGGGCGGAGGGGGGTCTGGCTACGGACCTGTGCTTACAGTCAACCCGTGCAGTAAGGATGCGCGATAAGGGTCCTTGGATGCCCAACTCGAAGCTCTTCGAGCGGGGCGCGGCCAACGAACGTGGCGAAGGATGGACCGAGGGGGCAAGGATGCAAGGGTACCCTTGGGAAGGCTGCCCATCCTTATTATGCGGGTTGACTGTATTGCGACTGTTTGCGCCAGTGCGTCCTCTGGGGGAGACTCCACCTGCTCGAAACAGGCGCCAAAGACAGCCAAGGTCTATCCGTAGGGAGGGGGGGGTGCAAGGGTCCGCGCCGATCGGCAAAACAATGAATAAGAAAACGATCACCTTCTGATACGGTCGGGGTCGATTGGGAAAGACACGCAAGATGACACAACAGAGAGAAGAAGGTCCACCCCCATAATAAACACCCCGCGAAGGGAGGCCGTTTCGCAAACGCACCCAGGGAAGGAATCGGGCAGGGCATGGCTGTTTCGCAAAAGTTTCGTAAACTCCAAGGGCCGTTTAGTAAACGCGAATGGTCAGGATCGGAGTGGTTTCTCCTCCCTTGCCACAAGACCCTTCCGAGTGTCACGTTGCCTTTGGAATATAGACGTGATGGGTCGTGGAGCACAGGAGACAAGGGTACCCTTGACTTGACAGGGCCGACCTACCTCACCCTCGGCTGCGCTTCCTGATATTCTCGGCATCGCCGCGAGTCCGTGGTCCTGCCCAGGGCGGTGCCGCGCTATGCTGGGCCGAACAGATGCCCAGTAGCCTCACGGGCGTCGTCGTCGTGGTCGTCGTCGTCGTCGGCATCGTCGTCGGCGTCGTCGTCACGGGCGTCCACCACCCTCATCGAAGGTCCTCCACACCCCCACCCGCCAGCCGACCCTGCATCTGTCGAGGCCCCAGTGGGGGCCCTCGCAGACCTCTGCGCGCCAAAGGCGCTCCCCGTCACCCTCCTCCTGCTGGTGCCTTGCACGCTCATCCTCCCCCCCTCCACCACCCTCCATCCTCCGACCTCCACCCTGCTCCTCTGCTAGGGAGCCCACAAAGGACGTACGCACCCAGCTATGTACATGAACACGGCCCCTCGATTCGCGAGACCGGCCGCGTTATACGAACATTTGTGCAATGCGTGCTCTCGAGACCAGCGTGGATTCATGTACATTTACGTCCTTCTTTCGCTCCTGATCTGCCCCTCTCTTCCATCTTCCCTGAGATCCGACGCTGCAAAACAGGCAGCGCCGCGAAAACCTCACGACGGGAGTCCCAGGGCCCCCTCTTCCAGCTGGCTTCTCGAGCCGCCCCGATCCGTGCGCGACCTGGGGCCAGAGACTGGACGAACACGCCCGGTGTGAAAAGACTGCAACGCCAGGATCTCAGGGTCCCTTCTGCCTCCTCCCACCCACCCACCTCCCCCTTCCTCCTCCCCTCCTCCTCGTCCTGCTCCTCCTTCTCCTCCTCCTCCTCCTCCTCCTCCTCCTCCGCCTCCTCCTCCTCCTCCTCCTGTTCCTCCTGCTCCTC